ATATATTTACAATAACTATTATAATATTACTATATAATAAATATAATAAATATAATAACTATATAATATATATTTACGATATATGTACAGTGAAGTATTTTTTTATATAATAATTTGATAAAATTATAAAAAAATTGACAAAATAATTGGTTAAATAAAGAAAACAATTTTGTCAAAAATTGAGTCGGCTTGTAGAAATTTCAGTGGCAGAACTTTCTGTCTATTTAAACATAAAATACATATTTAATATTAACAAAATAATTAAGTATATTTCACATATATAGACATTGACGTATAATGTATATATTTATAACATATATAAGTTCATAAGTGAACAGCAAAAAATGTTCATTTAAATACTTAACCAAAAAGTAAAAAATATTAAAATCAAAACTTACGATCCTGAATATAGCATGCGAACGGCTAGATCGTTCATTCATATTTGTTTCACCAGTTGTCCGTTCCTTATTACCAGTAACAAAATGATACAAAAGTTCTTTCTCAGATGTTATATAAGCTTCCTTGCAAGTAACATTTATCATACCGGATGGTGTTTCATGTATTTTCAGATCTGTGTTCTTCTTATCAAGTAAATCATAGATCTTTTCATTATAAATTTCAATATAACCAACACTATAATAAAGTGAAAAAATTAGATTTTTACTGTTAAATAATAAAAAACAATACTTTCTAAACATACCGAATTAAGAATTTACGATCAGTAATTTGTTCAATTTGTTTAAATATTTCCTTAAATGCCAAAAGTATAACACCAGGGTTCTCCGTATCCCCCATCATGGTATAGGTTTTACCTGAAAAATTTCAAAGGTTTATTAATTTGATAAAGAAATAATTCAATAAAATTATAAGAATTCGCATACCTGAAGACGTCTGTCCATAGGCAAAAATAGTACCATTAAAACCTTGTATACTTGAGTGAACAATTTGTTTGGCCATTCTATCAAAAATCATTTTATTGTCACTTTGTTGATCAAAAATATGATCTGAAAAGAAGAATATATATAATTTGCAACTATACATATAAACAAATATAATATATTATATTCTTATAATATTCATATATTCTTAATAATAACAACATGTGCCCTTCTTAACAACATATGCCCAAATCCCACCCATATCCCAATCCATGCTTACTCCTAAATAGCCTCTTCTTTTTTCTTACACAAACAACACCTAACCACATTTTAACCCATGTATTGGTCTTGTAATTTCTTTCGTGTTATTTGCTTTACAGATCCCTGCGACTTACAACAACAACAACAATAATAATAGTATAATATTAATAATAATATAATAATAATAATATAATAATAATAATAATACTAATAATAATAATATTTAATAATAATAATATTTAATAATAATAATATTTAATAATAATAATATTTAATAATAATAATAATAATAATAATAATAATAATAATAATAATAATAATAATAATAATATAATAATAATATTATAATAATAATGATATAATAATAATATTGTAATGATAATATAATAATCAATAATAATAATATAAAAATCAATAATAATATAATAATAATAATAATATTATATTATTAATATTATTATTATTATTATAATAATGTAATAATAATAGTATAATAATATAATGATAATAATATTATAATGATAATAATATAATAATGATAATAATATAATAATGATAAAAATATAATAATATAATAATGTAATAATAATGATGTAATAATAATATTGTAATAATACTAATATAATAATCAATAATAATATAATTATAGTATTACTAATAATGTGATAATAATAGTATAATAATAATGATAATAATATAATAATGATAAGAATATAATAATAATAGTATAATATTGATAATAATATAATAATAATAGTATAATATTGATAATAATATAATAATAATAGTATAATATTGATAATAATAACATAATAATAATAATAATAATATAATAATATTAATAATATACTTATAATAATAATAATATAATAATAATTATATAATAACAAAATAATAATAATGTAATAGTAATATAATATAATTATAATAATATAATAATAATTATATAATAATAATAATACAATAATAATATAATAAAAAAAATATAATAATATAATAATAA